CCGACGAAGGGGCTTGTTGGAGGGGGGGGGTTTAAATCTTTATTATAAGTTGCTGATTCGCAAAGGAGCACAGGACATTCCGGTAAGCCCAGAATGTGGTTAAGATGGCGCGAGGTGCAATGTGAAAGGCGGTTGTTATGCGTTGGCGAATGCGGGTCTTAATTTGAGAGATAATGGTTTGAGCGGATGGCCGTTTAGATTCGAGAGTGTCGAGGCTCCGGGTGGCCCACAGCTCATTCAGGGTGAGTTTTATTAGAAAGGAGGTGATGGCATTTGAATGCGCCCAAGAGGAGCCTTGGGGCAGCCCTTGGCGTAATAAAATAATAGATTCGGAAAGTAAAAGAGGTTGATCATAAAACTGATTTATCAGATTTGACATCCAGCTCCACACAGGAGACACGAGGCGGCACGAGCAGAACGCATGAGAGATCGTTTCCCGCTCGCCACAGCCCGCGCATTGATCGATCACGGCGAACTGGCGTCATGACTTGAGATAGGCCCTTGTTTTGACCACACCGTGAGCGATCCGCCATGCTATTTCGCTTTCCCAATTGGTACTCAGACCAGCACCGAAGATGTCCTTCCGGATATTTTGCCAAACGGTACTTTTTTTTTTGTCAGATCAAATTTTATTCACAAATTTTTGTTATATACAGTGATTGTTAATTTGATTGAAGATGATTAAATGATTTAGCCACGGTGATTGGAATCACAAAAATTCAGGAGAAGTTATCAATAACGAAACTTGAAAAGCGAAAAACCGCTGTGCTGTAAGGCTAGCGGGAGTGATTACAAATCACAGTTTTCACAAGATTTATCATAGTGTGCCAGGGGTCTAGGGGCCTTGTGGAGTACCTCAATTAAGAAAACCCCATCAGGGCGAGGGGATCAAATTTTGAGTGTAAGGGTCTGGTATTCGTATGAACACAGAACGCTCCGGTGAGTCCACGGCGTTCTGGGCCTCATCAGTGCAGTACTAAAGGTGCAATGGGGGAGAACCGATATGCATCCCCAAACGATCCCACACTTGTGGCATCGTCTAAGCCATGCCAGAGTGCTCAAACTAGAAGAGCCTAGTGAGCGATGCACAATGCTCGCGGCGATGACTCATCCCACAGTACTCAATTTGGACATGAAAGCAGAGCTTTGTATACCAAAGAGCTATATTTTGCTCTTTCGTTTATGAATTTTAATATATATACGTATATAGTATTTTTAGCCTTTTTTTATTTAGTTTTCATTCTTGTTGTACAGTCCGTAATCCAGCCTTTTGACTGCAGTGGATTTTTTAATAAAGCTATCTATCTATCTATCTATCTATCTATTTATCTAAAACGTGATGTTTTTCATTTTTTCCAATTTAATCAATCGATGTACCTTTTAATCAATATTTGAATTCTCCACAATAATTTTGGTTCTAGTGAAAATAAATTTACGGTCATGATAAAGCTGAAGTCTCGGGAGGCCTCCCGCCTGGTGAATAACATATATTTCTTGTGCATGTATTCAATCGATCAAACGCTGCGGTGTTTATTAAATATTATAACGCCACGGCATTTATCAAATATCACCAATTTGGCGTTTTCGACGCAGCATATCGAGCAGCGGCACATCGAGCCATCGAGCCCGTAAAGATCTCGCGCTCGGTTAACTTGAGGAACATAAATCTATCCGGCATTAATAATGTAGCACAACATACTGTAAATCATTTGTAACTTTCTTTAACGATTCAACGTTTTGCTTGAATTGATATAAATTTCAAAGGAGGGTGTAGATTATCGAGTTGTCCTTTATTTTATGCCTTATTTGCTCCTTGAATAAAGGTCGCATTCCTTTAACTTAGTCTGGTGTTTATTGGAGGGCGGCGTTTTGTTTGTTACCCGTAGTTCTCGATGAGTTCATGATGACCATGCCGGAACACTCATGCCTTAAATCCTTGCCATACTTTGTTTATGCGACTGGAGTAAAACTTCATTTCTCTGCTATCAGTAAACCGGAGATAGATAAACATATTCTTCCTTACTGAAAATACAGATTTAATAAAAATGACTGAAGAACAAAGAGCGTAAAGAGAAAGCGTCGAAAGTGTAGTACGGTAAAAAATGCGAAGAACGCCCCACCCTCAGGAAATGTACTCACAAAGCAACAAAACTTTCCTAAGGAAATGAATTGGTTATCTGATGAGAGGTTATCTTAGTATAAAGAATCTTGTATCGTGGTTAAAACGCCATAAGAACTTTGTTTACTCTAGACAAGGGCTTTGTCAAATGTAAACTGAAATACTCCGCTGAAAGCAATTTACTCCCCGTTGAGTTTCAAGTCGCCGGTTTCTAATTTCGTGACTGAAAGGCGCCACTAAGAAACGAATTCCAGATGCCCCATTATATGAGAAAACAGCAAGGGGCTTCTTGATAAACATTTGGTTCAAATATATCTGTTCAGATAACAAAAGAGACTTCGTTGTTTTTGTCGTATCGTTTGTTGCAAAGTACCTTTACTAAAATGTTTGATGATAACTGACAGAGAAATGCTTTCGCAAGTAAATTATACCAGTGAAAAGTACACCGTACAGCTTTTAAAGATATTCAGAGAGACTGATTGAACATCCGATGGCCTTTACATGGAGACGTTTTGTTTGACTCGTAATTAGATAGATCATGTTATTTAAGCCAATCGGATCCTGTTTGGTATTTTGATTGTCTCCTTCTCGTTTACCGCCAGCCAATCACATTCTCAGCTGCCAAAGCATGCTAATTTCGTTGACAATTCGTTTCAGAAAACCGAATTTTGTCAATGACGAGGAACGTAGTCTTGTTCAGCATATAGGAGGGGATTGAACTGCTTTTGTGTAACTGTTGAGTTCAACATGGTGGGAGCCGCTTACAGTATGCGTTTCGAACGGTTGCTGCTCCCCGTCGTGATTTTTGGGGTTTGTTTATTACCTTGCTTGTGCCAGAAGAAGTGCGAGTCTGTGACGATACCTCTTTGCATCGGTTTACCGTACAACACTACAATATTTCCAAACATGTTAAAGCACAGAACGCAAGAGGAAGCAGCTCTTGAGGTTCATCAGTTTTTCCCGCTAGTAAAAGTCGGCTGTTCGGAGGATTTGGCCTTCTTCTTATGTTCGGTTTATGCCCCCATTTGCACTCTTCTTGGCATTCCAGTTCCACCATGCCGTTCACTATGTGACAGTGCGCGAGATGGATGCGAAGATCTCATGAAGAAATTTGGTTTCACGTGGCCCGAGTCTTTACGTTGCGAGAAGTTTCCAATACTAGGCGATGAGCTCTGTGTTGGAAAGAATACAACTGGTAGAAATGGTCAAGTCGTGCCTTCGAAGGAACGACCACAAGGATCTAACTCAACTGAGGCTCCGATCGACATCAGTTTGGTGCCTTTCCGCTGTCCGGAGGAGCAAGAAATTGATAACGATCACTACATGTTCTTTGGCAAGAAGAACTGTGCATCAAAGTGCGAAAACATCTATTTTGACGAGAAGGAGCGAAAAATTGCCCGTCTCTGGACTGGGATTTGGGCCATTCTTTGTTGCATATCAACTCTCTTCACAATTTTAACGTTTATTATTGACATGAGGAGATTTCGATACCCTGAAAGACCCATTATTTTTCTATCAGGTTGTTACTTCATGATTTCGGTTGCCTATATCATTGGATTCTCTGCTGGTGACTCTTTAACTTGCACAGAATCTAAATATGGTCATTCAATCCTTGTGCAAGGAACTAAACACGAAGGATGCACGGTAATTTTTATGCTGTTATATTTCTTCAGTATGGCATCTTCAATCTGGTGGGTTATACTAACACTCACTTGGTTTCTTGCGGCTGGACTAAAATGGGGTCAAGAAGCTATCGAAGCAAACGCACAATTTTTCCACCTTGCGGCCTGGGCGATTCCTGCGGTTAAAACAATTGCGATTTTATTGATGACCAAAGTCGATGGCGACGAGTTGAGCGGAGTTTGCTTTGTTGGACTTTCAGATTTAAATGCTCTGAGGGGATATGTGTTGGCTCCCCTGTTCGTTTACTTTGTTGCTGGAGCTACGTTCCTACTAGCCGGATTTGTGTCGCTGTTTCGAGTGAGATCAGTGTTAAAAGACGATTATAGCAAGAGGGAGAAAATTGAAAAATTAATGATTCGAATCGGAGTATTTTCCATTCTGTACACTTTGCCTGCGATTTCAGTAATTGGTTGTTTGTTCTATGAGCAAGCAAACCGTGAAAAGTGGGAGCAATCATGGCTTGAAGGCTGGAAGCATCAACAGGCCTGCATTGATGATATGGAAGACACGGATTGCCCCAAATACCCGATTGTTAATGACAAGCCGGATTTCACCGTATTTATGGTCAAGTACTTGATGTTCTTGATCGTTGGAATTACATCAGGATTTTGGATATGGTCGAATAAGACCATAAATGCTTGGAGAAAGTTTTATCGTTCCGTAGCGCACAAACTGTTCGGGCGTGGAGCGAATACGCCTGTGTGATTATAATTTGTAACCCTTTTAGCGGAGAACGTTTTATATACATGAAAAACGTATGACATAAATGTACAGTACTTGCTCGCCAGCTCAATTTACGCCATCGTGAGAAAGAAATCCCCTACGGAACTTGCCGAAAGCGCGTGGTTATATTTCATTTCAAATCGCGTGATCGCAAAATAATCTTGCCAGTGTTTACAACATATTTGGAGCACAACACCGGTTGTTGTCGAGCAACACCAATTGGCTTATGGAAACGGTCAACGTATCGCTGCGTCTTGCTCTGCTTGGTTGGAGCAAACGGGCATGGTTTGCGTTCTGTTGACTTATGTCATTAACAATTTCCAATTTTACAAGTCGTAACACACTTACCCCCTTACATTGGAATTACTTTTTGAGAAAGGCAAATTATACCTCCTTTCTTTTAAATTCGCATTATAGATTAGAATTGTCACCCTAACTGTTATGTTTTTCTATGAACATGCCTCCAGACATTTGTTTAATTTATTTTCAAATAGAAAGACAGAAAGGAAATTGAAAGCGATCGCACATTCTTGAAGCTCACATTTCATGGGCTTATCCTCTACAGATAACAACTAACTGTCTTTGAGAAGTAAAGTTGTTACAACCAGGAGGAAGTTTCTCGAAAAGGAGACAAACAGGTTTTTGCTATTCCAGATAACACGAAAGTAATTTATTATGTTTTTTTCACCTTTTTTGATGCTTTAGTTTGATTGATTTGAATAAGAATATGTTGGTTTTGTTTTATGTCAGCTGGGAACTGCTGGACACTGTCAACACAATTATTGCATTATTAGGTAAAGCTGCATTTTAGAGTCTGCCTGATGTGTTTCCATCAAGGCCACTTACTCAACTCTGCGAATCCTGGGAATTTGTTAGTATGATTGATTTTGAAGGTTCAAGTTTAGTTTTGTTTTTTTTTTTAAGACAATGGGATAGAGGACAAAGTATACTCTATTGTATTTTGCAAGAAATATGCCATCAAAGTTTGTATTGTCAAACATTTATTGAGTAGCTTTTAAATGACAAGTAGTTAACCAGAAATATGTGGACAGACTACTATCAGCCCTTAAAGTTGTTTTAGTTCTTGTACAAACATTTCTGTAGATAACCAATTTTTATGTGTTAAGCATAAATTTTGAAAAGTTTGTTTGTATTTGAATTACATTTACTGAGTTTCCCATGGGTTGTCTGGTTTTGTAATCCCTTAACTGTCCAAGAAGGAAATTTTATTTTAAATTATGTAGGGCCTGTTATTTACATGAGGTTTTACTCAAGCAGAGGGGCTTGGGTATTCTCTACAAGAGGGATGATTTAAGAAAATAAACGTCCTTCCACTATTAGCTTCTGGCCCTCTTGACGGTGCCTGTTCACAAACATGAATGTTCAGATAGAAGGTTAGGCTGAATTGAAGATGACTTTGGACCTTGGCTTTGTTAACTGACAGCTAAACTTTGTTTAAAAAACCAGCCCTGAATATTTTTTCCCAAAACTTTTGAAAAATTGTCTCCAATTTTGAAGGCAATAAATGAAAGGTTAAAGGATCAGAACATTAAAGATCTTTCTCTAAAATCTGTGGTGGGCACTTTGAATAAGGTTCCCTCTTATATGCAGGGTGGTGGTAAACATGATTTATAAAGAAAATTGTGAATTATCAGAAATATAGACAAGTTAGTCTGTCCTAGGTTTTGGAAGTCGTGTGTGAGCATTCTTACTGTGAGATCTGTGTTTCTGAGATCTTGATATGAACGTGTTCTTTCTTTTTGTGAGTTTGCTGAAGTTTTTTTCGGTGTTCCATAGGTCGTGTTTGTTCTCTTTATTTTTTTCTTTTTTTTTCTAAAATAATACTGCTTGGGTTAGATTTTGAGCCTTTCACTCCCAAGATCTTGATAGTCATACTTCTTTTGTTTGTTTCTTACAATTAGTTGTCCAATCAAATAGTGTACCCTAGTTGACATTTTTATTTATTAATTGTCACCACCTTTATGCCTGATATTGTGTTGACTTTGTCAAGAGGAGCAAAGTTAGATACTGTAGAGGACTTGATCAAAATGTGTGGGGATCCTAATCAACAAAATTAGATGGCACAAAGCATGACTCATTGATAAAAAAACTGATATCTGAAAATTCTGTCAACAGGCTACATCAGAAATCTATAGGGATATGTTCCTTCAAAATCAATAAGAAACTTGAATATTATCTTGATCTTTTTTTGATGTTGACATTCCATGTTTTGATTGTGAACAAAGATTGCACTGAAATCCTAGTTCTGAACTGAGATACTGCAAACCAACAATGTTTCACTGCAGATGAAATTCAATCAAAAAATGAAGAAATCGTAAAGAAATGTATAACAAAACAGAATTCCATAATTTTATTGGTTCTGGGTGGCCCACTATGAGCTTTAATCAATAGGACAGTATAAAGCCAAGTTTGTCATTGAACAGAGTAACTGGACAATTTAGGAGCAAGACAATTTTCTCGAGGTTATTTAAGAAGGTTGAGCAGTGGTATGTGACTTTGCGCCACAGCTTCGATGCCATAGTCTGGTTTTTTTCTTAGTCCATAAAAATGCAAAGAAAAAACTGGGCCACTTTCCAGCCATCTTAACCTCACACTTGGTCAATATCGCGTATGTCATGGTATTCCTTCCGTTAAACAATTGAGTTTTTCATGTACTTAATAATCTTGAGGTTGAATTGATTTGAAATGTGGACGTTTTCCCTGAGCACGCATCAAGTTGAGCTCTGTTAGATTGGCATCTGTTTGGTGGAAATTAATGTTATTTCTTGTGTAATTAACATATTTGGTCTAATTTTTTGCTTTGTTGACTTTGTTGAGTACTGGGAAGACCTGATCAGTTATGTTTTGGGAACATTTGAAAGGTAAGAGGCTGATACATTCAGGGGAAATACCTACTTGATTCCATTGGGAAAATTTGAGCCTTGAAAAAGATAATTCAGTTGTGTTTTTAAATGGAAGTTCCAACAATTTGTCATTGTCTTGGAGCTACAAACTTTAAGAATATAATTTTGAGTAAATTCTAAATAAGCTTATATGGTCCTGGCAGTTTCTACATTTTATCCCAAAAGAATGTTCAAGAGAGGCACCATGATTCAATTATGCACGTTAAATAGAAGACTAGTTTTAACATAACATTAATTTGACATGCTGCTTCATTTTGTTTTTAAAAAGAGTTCCATTTGGCCCTGATACATGTAAGTTTGGTCTAAGTGAGCAGTTGAAGAGTTGATTAATATTTCAAATTACTTTTTACAGTGTAACATAGATCAAAGAGATTTTTGTAACTATCAGTGAAAACCTCTTAAAGGAAGCACTGTCAGTCCTGCTTGTCATTGTTCAAATTATAGGGAGCTCAAGCAACGATGATGGCAATGAGGATAGGATAAGGATAGGATAATGTATTTCATGTCAGGTACACAGGGAGTGGTCGCCCAGATCTCCCAAGCCAGGGGCAGGCTCATGACAAAAGTGTGATAAAAGTCACTGACCCATTTACAAATATATATAAGACTACCTAACAAATCTAAAGTCTAAAAGGGGCTAATCTACAAGTTGATCGAAGTACACTATTTATATGTATATGTATAATAAAAAAAAGAAATGCTACCGAGCAAATCTAAAACTAAAAAATTTATGAATAGTCATGGTGAGTTGATGTTATAGGCAGTTCTTGCATTGGCAGCCGGTGAATGTAAGGTTCTGTAAGTGCCATTGAAAACAAGCTAAGTTTGGAGCATCTTTAACAGTTGGTGGCAGTTGATTCCAGATCCAAGAAATGATAAGTGAATATGAACTATGAAGAAATCTGCTGTTGTATGAATTTTGGACAACGATAAGTCCCCTACTTCCAAGATTGTAAGAGGTGATTCGTGGTTTAAATAGCATGGCTAGATAACTTGGGCTGTTCTCCTTGTAGCATTTATAAAAATCTATTAGTGACTGTTTTATGCATCTTCGTTCCAGAGAGTTCAAATGTGCTGTTCTGAGGACTGATTCATAGTATCCCAAGTTCATTAATGTTCAAAGACCGTAGTACTTTGCATCTGCTCATTTCTTATTTAGAGTTTTACCAATGCCGATAAGTAGGGGATTACAATACTCAAAGTGTGATAAAACAAAACTCTTGTAGAGAACTGGCAGGGTACTGGGAGGCACTAGATGCTTAAGGCAATGGAGTTCAGCTATCTTAGTAAATGCTTTCTTTAGTATCTCATTAACATGTTCTTTACTATTGATCTGTACATGTAAATAGGGCTATACAACTAATTAAAATCCAGATGTCCTCCAAGGATTGTTACGTGCTCTTTGATGTAGATAGAAGAGCCGTTAAGTTTAAATTCATAATGTGGGTACATTGGGTTTTTATCTGCCACATACTGGGTAGTATCATCTGCATAGAGACGAAGAGAAGAGGCATTGACAGCTTTGTTTGTATCATTCATAAAATGTCAAACAGTTGGGGGCTAAGAAGACTTCCCTGGGGGGGACACCACAATGTATAGGTGCCTAGTCAGAGTAGCTATTGTTGCACGTTACCCTTGTTTCTGTAGTTTGAGAGCTATGTCTTGTAGACCATATGCCTTTAATTTTGCAACCAGTAGATTGTGGTAGATACAGTCAAATGCCTTAGCCAAGTCAACAAGTCAAGTCCCCTACACAGTGTTGTAAAGCGCATTAGAACATTGCATGGAAATGCACTATAGAAATTGATGTTATTATTATTATTATTAATAGTGACCATGCCCACTTCTTTTTTTCATTGAGGGCTTTTCTCCAATCGTCTGTTAGTTTTATCAGTGCAGTAGCGGTGGAGTGTCCCGTAAGGAAACCAGATGTGTTAGGGGAGAAGGTAGGTAAAAATGAGGAGTACAATTGATCAAATAACACTTTCTCAAATAGTTTGGAGATTGAGGGTAGAATGCTGACTGGTCGGTGATTATTCTTGTCTGAAGTGTCACATGTCTTGTCTGAGAATGCCACAAAAGAACACTGGTTCAATGAGAAAAAAAGTAACTCTGCCAAGGTATTTCCAAATTGGTACATTCCCATTTCTTTGCCACGACAGACCTCTGCAAAAGAAAAAGCAACAATGTAAAATGACCAAATTAAACTGAGATTTTTTCACAAGCTAAATTTTTTTTTCATGTATACATTGATTACTGTTTGCTGTTTTTCACTTCTGCTTTAATTTTTCTTTTTCAAATGACCCCACAACATGTAGAACCTTAACTAGGTCATTATATCTATCTAGTCTGCATTAACTAATTAAAGGGTTCTCTTTGTCATTTCCTTCTTGCCAGCAAGTGTTTAACTTACTACCCTGCAGACTTAAACAATTCCTAGAATCAACATACAATGTGCTATATGTTTTTTCTAGAGAATTTTCATGCAGGTGCATATTTAAGAAAAGCAAGCATTCTGTGAAATAAATAACTCACTTCAACTTTAGCTGGACACTATATTTTCCTGTTTCTCAAAAAATTAAAATAACAGTCACACAAACTGGAAATGTTAACTAACAGCATGAGACCACAATTTTGCATTGCATAAACCCACATACTCTTACTGGTCATGGAAATACCTATTATAATGGAATCATACTTTCGAATTTAATAATAGACTCCAACAGGTCTGTCAAGTAGAAACAATTATATCTAAGTCCTATTTTTATGAGTGTTCTGCCACTGAAAGGGAGGTTGGCTTAATTTGATTGATTGATTATTTATTTAACAAGAGTGAGAGTTTTAGTGCATTTTGCATGATTCTTTTGTCAGGGTGAGCGCAGAAGAGTGGTTACACTCGTGAGGCTATGACTCAGTAAAATTATTATGTTTCTTCCTTAATTTGTTTTGTTTTTGATCCTGAGTGAATTTTCCCACACCAAAGTCAGGTTAATATGCAGAGGATCTACAAAGTGAAACTGAAAGATTGGCACAGTTGAGTCTTTCTGAGTTGCACCCTTATGACTTGCACCATTAGCTACTTTTTGTATCTTCCCGTGTACACAATTGCAATGTCGTAAGGAAAACGGAATAAACTTATTTAGTAATGGTAAAATGTAAATTTTTTGTTTGTTTTGAAATTAGCAAAAATAAAAGGGAGTTGAGAAACACTCCACTTTTAACCAAAAGTACATTCCAGATTCAGTACAGGAAAAGGGACTGGCTTTTCCCTAGCATGGCTCACAGAAGAGTTGAAGTTTAGGCTTCTACCAGGTAGTGGTAGAAGAGGTCAGTGTGGAAACCATTATCTTAGATCTGAAGTCTGGAATCCATCACCCTAGTAAGCCCTTCTCTCTTAAAAACCCCTCTCTCCTTTC